TTTAATGTCAATATTTTATATTTTAATAATATATAACAAAAAGATGATCAAGTTAAATTAATATTGCAGCTAATTAACTACTATATATACGTACGTTTCCTGGCAGGGAATTTTGGACGAGCTTTTTGATCAAATGAAAGCAGTTCAGAATGAACAAAATCCTTGCTTTGTTGCGAATTTGATCACCACATTCCTTGGTGATTCTGAAAATATTATAGCACAACTCAGCACATATCTGTAATTTTCTTCACTGTTTTCATTTACTATTCTGTTTTTATATATACATTATTTATATTATATATATGTATTGATTTTGGAAAATTCAATTTTAGGAGTGCTCAGGATCCTGATGAAGTCAACTATGCCCAGGTGGCAACACTTGCCCTCACGCTCAAGGGAAGTAGCTCAAGGTATAATAAATTGAATGCCACATTTTATTTTAATTTTAAATGTTAAACCTTTTTATTTTAGGTTTTGTTGCTAAATGAAAATTCAAAGCAATTTTGCACAAAAAAGGCATGAACAAAATTGTAAATTTAACAGAATGTAGTCGGATCCGAAATAGCTCAAGATAATAGTGACAACTGTATTTACATTGAGTTGAGTTCAACTAAATGTTTTTTTTTTCCTTCTTGTTAACCGTATTTGAACTAAATGAAAAAGTAACACGTGTCAGGATGTGAAGAATTGTTACACATCGAAATTTTTTAAAAACATGCAAGGATTTACAAAGAGTTGAATTACTCCTCCCTCTTCCCCATAAAAAAAGAAGTAACAAATTAATTTTTTCACGCCTACTATATACATAAAGACTAACCATGGTTTTAAGTTTTGGTGGATTTGGACTAAAATTAATTCTTGTGTCACACTAAAGAATTTAATTACATTGATCCTCTTTGCTAAATTTGGACTTACAGTGTCGGTGGTGGCCGGATGGCGTTAGCCTGTAGCCAGCTCCGAGATGCAAGCGATGTAAATGACCATGAAGAGTAAGAATTGGAGACTATTATAGCCAAATTATATTTCTTAATATTCACTCAAGACTTTTATAAAAAGAACCCTTATTTGATCATGGATAAAGACCTCTCCTATGGAAACTGTTTTTGACGCGCAAATCTTATGCTTGTAGGTGCATTATTGTTCTTGACCTTGTTAACCAAGAGTTTCTCGTCTTGCGGGAGAATCTGAATCACATTGTTCAGGTAACGGTAACGGGAGAATCTGAATCATATTGTTTTGTTCTAATAGTCTTTGTTTTTTCCCCAACAAAAATCTGGAAACATAATGGAGTGCAGATGGAACGCGCAATCCATGAAAATGAGATCAAAAGGCGCAATACGTAGAGAGAGCTGGTTTGTTCACTTTGTTAGGAGAACTTCTCCAGAAGCTCATTGGTTTCTTTATTATGTTGTTGGCTATGGAATAATAGTTCATATAAACTTTTATTATTATAAAAGTTCATATAAAAGTTCACTATCTATTATTACAGACACATATAATTATGGAAAAATTACCGAGGTAACATGTGAAAATAAACTATTTTGAACGAACTCTTGGAAGAATCTTTTCACAAAAAATATGAACACAAATTTTAATTGATATATACTTTGAATTCGTAGATGCCAAGAGGTTAGTATTGAATTTTTTTTTTCTTATCAAGAACACAAACATTCATTAAACAATCCAAAACCAATTAATTACAATTGACGCTATCTATTATTACAGACACATATAATTATGGAAAAATTACCGAGGTAACATGTGAAAATAAACTATATTTTGAACGAACTCTTGGAAGAATCTTTTCACAAAAAATATGAACACAAATTTTAATTGATATATACTTTGAATTTATTTTTACTTTGAATTCGTAGATGCCAAGAGGTTAGTATTGAATTTTTTTTTTCTTATCAAGAACACAAACATTCATTAAACAATCCAAAACCAATTAATTACAATTGACAGAACCTGTGTGCTAAAGAGTGGCGTCATTAAAACCTTGCCTTATAAAAACCCTCCGAAGGAGGAAAATCCTGTCAATGAATTACAATATGATTGAATTGCATTCACACTCCCCTATCTCAATAAAGATATACCACAATAAGTTATAAATATATGAGTTTTCGACTAAAATGGTCTTTCATCTTGTATCCGAGGTTTATCTTAGTTCTCCAACTAAATTATTCACTCAAGTCATCCTCTAAATCGCTATTTCGGCACAAATTGGTCTCATTGTAATATTTACCGTCAATTTGCGTAGACTGACGGTAAATGCATATC